TTCCCTTGGAATTATCAAGATACTAATGAACACTCTTAAATATTTAGTATAAAACTCTCATTCCTTACTGATATGAAGCTCAGTCTCTAGTCAGAAAAATAATCAAGACTTAAAACTTTGCAAGCTAAATCAGATTTGGTTTTGTTTGAATAAGGATAGAATCTTCAGAGTCTGAAGGAGTAATTGCAGAACTTGATCTCAAGTGGACTGATGTCAATCCAGAAGCAGTCCCTGTTTGTTATGGCTGATTATGCTTATTTGTAATTGCTATCCATGACAACCCTTATGACAATAAATAAGGCTCTGCTAAATACTCTTGGACCAAATTTGTTGTTTAGAAGGGCATTGTAAATGCTTAATATGTCAAAAGTACCTAAGACCCCACTTGCTTGAACACAAGCACAACAATTTCCTTTAAGTATTCTTTTGTGCACTTATATTGCAACAGCTGTATGTGCCAATATTATATACTTTTATGTATACTTCTATGATTTATATTATGGTTGCATCAAATGTTGGTGAATTTCCATGTTGTTTGCTTATTGTAAAATATGAAACATGAACTTTATTCACCACAGAAATAAATATATTGTTCTGAGTTACTATATATTGTGATGTAACCACACTACTCAGTTCCTACCGCTGTATTTTTAGTCAGCGCTGTACGATGTATGATGCAGTCAGGCACAGGCTGTCTGTTAACTCTTGGCTTTTCTGGCTGAGTCAATCTCAAAGCATTAACTGTAGCTCATACTTTGCATTATGCAGTATATGTTGAGCTTTCTAAATCTCTTTTCTGCATACATCCTGGTGAAAGCAAATTATTTGGAAAACTCTGGTAGAATGGGTAGGGAAAAATCTGCTCTAAAAAAGTTGATTCAGGTTTTTTTTCCTCCCTAAAAAAAATTTTTGTTGTTAAATACATTTTATTTTCCACATTATATTTGCTTTGTACACTATTGCTTGATGTCAGTGTTGGTAGTATAAGAAATAACATTATGAAATAGAACAAAATAAAAGTAATATGAAATAAAATACACTTAAAATACTGAATGAAAGATAAATATTGTTTTAAATAAAATGTTTACATTTCCAAAACACAATTTTTCTGATATAAATTATTCCTCTTTTGGGAAATTTTCTGTTTTCAGGGATGACACCAGAGAAAATTTATGTGGCTTTTTATGTGATCATTAGTTAATCCAGTAGAAAAACTATTCTAATTAAAGAGTTTCTCTGACTTAGATTATTGTGTCATGTATAGAAGCAAGAAAGTGAAATAAAATACCAGACACTTTTTTTTTAGCTCTTGTACAATGCCCTATATTTTTTTTGAAAGCCACAATTTTTCATTTGTGATTGGAAGTGAATTATGGGAACTTGTACTACAAGTGACTTTTACTTATATCATGAAGATATCCAACAAGCAAATATAGAACTTATCTCTGCAGATTTTTGCATTGTTTCCATTAGGAAGTATGGATTTTATATATGAGCAGAAGTAAGGTAGATCCTCTGGTAACACAAAAACTTGTGTAATCTTAAGAAGGAAATTGTTGGTAAACAATATGTCTAAAGAGACAAGATTTTAGACATTATCTTCATTGTGTGAATGAGCCACTTAGGTATATTCTGCATTCTCTGACCTTCATTTAAGTGACTTGGGTCATGGCTTAGCCTCAGTTCTCAGAAACCAGAATAAATTTTATGGCAGAAACATTTTCTTTCCCCCCCTTAAGATTTTTATTTTCATCATAATACTTTCTAAGTATTTCTTCACTGGTTTGTTTTAGATTCATTTGCCATGGGCTCACCAATGGGGAGAAGTACATTTTCAGAGTCAGAGCTGTTAATGCAGCGGGACTCAGTGAATTTTCACAGGATTCGGAGCCCATAGAAGTGAAAGCAGCCATTGGTAAGCTATTTTCCATTGCTCTTTTCAGTGGTAAATATGGGGAGGGTGTGAAGGGGGAGGGGGTTTATGAGTTAAAGATAGTTTTGGCAATTATTTGTAATTAATGTTTTTTGTTTACAATGCTGTCTCCAAGTAATAATTTTTCCATAGATCCTATGGTCTCACAGCCATTGTTTCACAATCACTGCACTCTTGTAGACTGTTCACCTTCACTATCCAGTCTTGCTCAGGTGTTTCTTGTGAACCACTGTAAGAGAGCACTGCCAAGTTCACTTCATAGTTATCCTGGAAAATGAAATGTCATTCTGATTCAGTAATGTGGTATTTATCACCTTTAATGCACACCATCCTATACAGTCAGTTCCTAAGAAATTTGTTACCATACCTAAACCTAATAATTGGTGTAATGTGTCTTTTGTAAACCTTCTGTAACCCTGTGTGTTCTTCCTTTGTTGATGAATTATTTCTGTTTGCCCCTGCCTGAACTAATCCATAAAGATTAATGAGATCATTGGGCTAGAATAAATTGCATGTCTACAACATCCTCACTCTCATTTGTATCAAAGATGCATACCTCACAACCTGGGAGCAGAGAGATGTGGCCTAGGGCATTTTTGTGAGATCAGCTTGGAATGATCAGAAATATGACTTGGAAGATCTAATACTAAAATCACTGCAGCAAATTAAGATTACTATTAACTTTCCATATTTCTTCTGCTCTGAAAAATAGATGTTATTAAAAGAGCATTACTTGTGAGCAGGTTGAGAGGTATTCTATGCATTTCAAATTTTTGTGAATTCAATCTTAACATTTTGTGAGTAAAACCTGTGATTTGTCATACTTTGGTGTATTGTTCACTGTACGCATTTCTTCATTCTTTTGACTAAATGAAGAAAAAAGAATGTATTCTAATTCAAAATGTCTTTGCTGTTTTCTGGCAATTATAGGGGGAGGATTGCTTCATGGTGTGTGTCCTGAACTGAGTGGTAAAGCTGGTGGACTAACAGACCGCACTACCAGCTGGGAAGGCATGCATGAGTCCTCCCAGCCTATCTTTGACACAGATGCTTTGCTAAAATGCAATGCTAAATTTAGTAGAGACACGCTACCCAGTAGCTCTGAGAAACTGGGGAGTACAGGAAGCAATAACATGAGAGAAATGGTTAAGGATGCTGTCACACCTGCACCACAAAAAATTGCTGCTAAGCAGGCAAGTAAGTCTCGACCCAGGGATCTTTTGACACCAGAAAAAGTGACAAAGAAGAAAGATACAGGTGAGAATTAATAAAATGAATAGATTTCACTGCTTTGATACATCCACTTCAGACGGTTGTGACCTCTGCTCGTCTGTGCCACAACTGAATGTGCTCTCCAGTGATGCATCATCCATCAGACCCATTAATTATGTGCTCAACTCTCTGTTAAGATCATTATGCATGTGATGGTGTCGAAGATGACTTTACAGATGTAGTGACTACTGAAAGTGAAACATATAAATCCATTTACTAATGAAATAGCTTGTTTGACTACATATTAATGTATCCAACATTCTGTATTATTTCTAAATCACTTCAGTAATTTATTAGGAGTCTTCTTACCTTGTCTCTGGGTTATGCAAGTGTGGAGGAAACAAAATCTGATTATGATGGTAAGCATGCAAATCTGCATTGTGTTAGGATATATGAAGATCCTTTGTGGATTTTTGCCTAAGCTACAGTTTATCCTCTGAGACACAGTGCAAATTAATGTTCTGTTGTACCTCTGACTGACAGTAATACAGAATGAGGAAAACCTGTCAAGTTGAAGGCACATACACAAAATTACATTTTATGTTGTCAACACCTAAACACCCATTGTGCCTGAGAAATGTCAGGCTTGAATTTCCTGGTATTGGCCAGTGAACTGAATTCCTCACCAGGCCTCTGAAGTGAGACTCAATAGGCTTGTGCAAAATGTTGAACAGGAAACAAAGTAGAGGCACCTGGGGCCAGCTGACACTGACATAAAACATTAAAGAGAAAAGGAAACTTATATGATGTAGGATTTCCCTCAAAAGCAGGATTTCAGGGTCGCAGCTAGGGCTCTTCACTGGTGCATGACATATTGGGTATAGGCTAGCATTTCCCCACTAGGTACAGAAAAGGCTTTATAAGAAAATGGTTTAGGATGAAGTTAATGATTTATGTATTGTTAAAAAAAGTTAAAAATAGGATTATGCAGCAAATTTTTTAATATAAGTTCCAGTAACAGACATGTTCCATTTCTGGTCAGTCTACAGTGCCTATGATCACACTTCCTTCCATTAAGGTAAGATCATATGATGGGTGCAATGATAACATTTGCACAGTGTATAAATTATTAAAAATGAATGAATAAATAAAAAGAACAGATAAAGTCCATTCTCAAAAGGGAAGAATGTGGGCCTATTTTAAAAAAAGGAACTACAGCTAATATTGTATATATGAAAAAGTGTTTGCTTTCAGCAAAAAAACCCAAATCATTGCATCTCCGATTTTCTTACTTTTCCTGTGATGCTAGTTTTAGTTCCTGATTTTCCAGTTTTAAAGCAAGTCCTGATCACTTACATCAGAGCTGCAATTGTAACACTTTCTTTCACTATGTATCAGCTTGCTTCTAAAAAAACAAATGTTCCTGAAAACTAATTCCTATGCGGTTTTGACTTTTTCCTTTGGTTTATGGAAACTTTTATCTTGCATTTCTTTTTCCAACTCCGGAAACTTCCCTTGACCACATAAATATTGACCTAATTAGGAAATGCATGATGGGAGCCACCTGAATATGGTAATTGAATGCCAGACTGACTATTGAAATATTACTTCCTACTTATGTATTATTCACCTTGAAACAGCTGCTCCATCTCCACCTTACGACATCACGGTACTTGAGAGCGTTCGTGACTCGATGGTATTAGGATGGAAACAACCTAAAGTCACCGGTGGAACTGAAGTTACCGGCTACTATGTCAACTATCGTGAAGTGGTTGATGGAGTTCCTGGGAAATGGATGGAGGCCAACATTAAGGCCATTAGCGAGAGGGCATACAGGGTAGGAGGTTAACTTCTGTTACTGCTGTGTGTGCAGACAACATTTCCAAAACAGACCTCAAAGACAGATCGGGATGAATTATGATTCAGTGTACAGACTGCTGTTCAGAGTTTTATATCCATGATGATAAATTTATTTAGCTCTGTTAAACTTCTCTGCAAAATTATTTTTACACTTCTGTTCGTCTGGCACCAACTGTCATCTGTGAATTCACTACTCTAGACATAGCCTGAATTTTTGGAAGTAAGGCCCTCACAACAAATGGCATTCCTACTCAGCTTGGTGCTTGCTGGTGCTGGAACCAGCTCTGTGCCAGCTGTGTTTTGTGATCAGTTCTTGACCCAATTTAGAGATGGTGCTAACTACAATCTCGTTGAGCTGCTTTACAAATGAAAAGCAATGCCAGGACTGAGTTTCACCCCACTGTGAGGACAGCTCTTTCCTTAAGTGAACTTGCTCTGTATCAACAAGAGAGATTAATATGATTGTTGAGCAATACCCTGCTCCCTTCTTGACTACCACAGTGTCTATCAATAGGAAAAGGGGTTTACAATTTCAGTGTGCTAAGACCACACATGTACGCTCCATCACTGATTAGAGGAAAAGCCAAGATAGTTATCACCTTATGTATGGTGTCAGTAACGCTTTCATCTCTTCAGGCTCTTAAAAGCATGCTCCTGCATTTGATAATTGTCATTGTGACTTTCTTCTAAAGTCTTAATCCAAAGTTATTAAGTACCATCTTATTGATTCTGCAGATTCAAAACCTGAAGGAAAACATGGTGTACCAGTTCCAGGTGGCTGCTGCTAACCTGGCAGGGGTTGGGACACCCTCCCTACCCAGCAAGCCCTTCAAATGTGAAGAATGGACCATTGCTGTACCTGGTAGGATCCTGAATGAGAGGTGGAGGTTTCTCACAGCCCAAGGGTACTCTATGACTGATTATCTAAGTTCTCTCTGCCTTCAGCTTCCAGGAGAGTCAATGGGCACTGAAGTTCGTACCCTGGCTTGAATCTCCATCACTCTGATTTAGTATATTTACAACGGTGCATTAAACAGTCCTTATTTAATCAGCAGCATTTTACAAGCAGCTTGTATTTTCTTTATCTTTCCCACTTGGTTCCTGTGCTGTGTCTGCCACTTTGCTTCTTAGTTTAAATGGTAGACATAAATACCTGTCTAAGGTACAAGGCAGAGAAAAATGAGGCCCTGTAACCCTTGTCTAAATGTATCACTTCAAGGCCAGATCGCTGGCCTTTTAACACACGTTGAATGAAAACAACCTCCATCAACTTCAGTGGACTTTAGAGCAGTCCTTGAAGCAGCACATTAGTTTAATAATTAACTTATTTCCCTGAGTTCAGAGATTATTTGTCATTTCTGTTTGTTCATGAATATTTGATCAAGATACCAAATCTCAATAAATTGGATTGTTTTTTGGGCTAGTCTTTTTAATACACATGAGTTGTATTTATATTGGGTCTAGATATGATACAGAGGAGCTGCATGTGTTATGTCAGCTCCAGGTGTACAACGTGGTGTCTGGTTTTTTGTTTTTGAAATCTTATGCATTAGCCCTTTTGGGGTTTATTTTGATACCACAACTCCAATTTTAACTCTTCCCTTTCAGGGCCACCCCATGATGTCACATGCACAGAAGTTAGGAAAGACTCTTTGGTTTTACTGTGGAAGGAACCAGTTTATACTGGTCGTAGTCCCATATCTGGTTATTATGTTGATATGAAGGAAACTGAGGCAAAGGAGGAACATTGGCGAAGTGTCAATGAGAAGCCACTTCAAAAGAAATTCTTGAAGGTAAATAGCTTAAGATTCAAATACTGATATCAGCCTTCGATAGCATCATTCTGTGCTGATCATGGTTCTATTTAATGAAATACACAGTACTTTTTGTTGTGCTGAGTATACATACGTGTAATGCCTCTGTAGTCAGTCAAGACTAACTCAGAAGACAATTTGGTACAAGCCTAAAAATTAAAAAAAACCCACTGCTAAACCCCAAATAAACCAAATTACCATTCTTATAACACAGGAGGCAACCCTAGCATTTTCTCACTTAAAGTGCAAGATAGGTATATCTACACAAAACAGATGACACAAAAATAGATGTTGTGATAATGTGGCAGGTGATTCTTTCTAATACAAAGTACTCTCTCCTCACATTTCACAGCAAGTTAAACCCAAGCTTTTCACACTATTATGCTACGTTGCTTTGTGGAATAACTTCTAAATGAGGGATCAGCTGGATCTCTGTTCTAGATATACGTCTTAAGTAGGTTTGCTATTTGTATGCTTTTCAGAATATTTGAAAGACAAGTCACTTCTAAGTGTGATTATTTCATATATGTTTTAAAGGAGTATTTACAGGTGTTACAATGTCAGCATTACTCCTCAAGTCACTACAATTAAATCTGTACAATTAAATAACACCCTCCCATTTCTAAATAGGTGTGGATGGCACCCTGATAATTTCATTTTTAAAAGCCAGAATTTACCTGCAGTAAAAGACTATGCTGTTTCAGAGGCCAATGTACATGAGTTAAAAACGTCCTGTTCTGATAACAACTCTCCTTTTGCAAAGAAATCAATGACAGTAATGACGCTGTCTAAAAGTTAGCTGTGCATACAAGGAAGGACCAAGCCAAACAGATCTGTCATGTCATGCTAGAATTGAAAAAAAAAACAACCAACAAAAACACGAGGAAGAAATATTTGTCAACTGGAAAAGGAGCAAAACAGAAAGACAGGAAATATAATTGTGAAGCATGCAGACTCGCATTGAAACAAGTATGAAATTAAAATCAGTGTTTTGTAACACATCATGCACGTATTGTATTTGCTTCTTCCAGATAGGTGGCCTAAAAGAAGGCGTGAGCTATGTGTTTCGCGTGCGGGCAACAAACCAGGCTGGTGTTGGGAAACCATCAGATGTTACAGATTCTGTCATAGCTGAAACACGACCAGGTTTGTTAGAAACACTTCCTTCTTTTCGTCATATTTAAACAGGCTCCTGTTTGTGCAACGTGTTTACATACAGGCTGCATGTGAAGAGTCTGACCTCTCTCAAGCCAAACTTCTTTATTAAGCAGGAAATGAGTGGAGGGTCATATCTTACTTTCTTGTCTGGTATATTTTAAGGTCAGAGCAGACTTTTTTACTATAACTACAGGATCAGGAATACAATACAATAAAGTTGTAAGAATTGCACATATCTGTAGATAAATGTGTAAGCAGGAAACCCACTAAGATCAGTTCAATCAAAACATTCTACAGAAGAAGATTATGCCCTTCCTATAGTAAGCCAGTTGTTTATGTTTTATCTCTCTCCTTTCTTTAACTAACTTATGTAATGTGCCTGAGGGAAGCATAAAAAATTACTTTTCTCTCTTGGCTTCAAAAACATAACTAAGTCCGTTTGGAGACCACCTTCAGTAGGAATTCTAGTGTAACTTTTTGCTGGAGTCATCCTTGCGGGCTGGCTCCAGCATGTCTATAGCAACAGCAAGGAACACATGAACCAGTACAGAGGCAGGATCTCTGTACCTGGAACTTCAGAAAATCCTTAAGTTTCATTTAACTATACAGGTAACATAGGAGACTTTGATCGGAGTCAACACATTTTTGTCAATAAGTCCCTAACAGAAAACACAAGCATGGGCTTGTGATTTCCTCATCTATATTTTAGAAGTGGAGGGTCCTACAAGCTGAAAAAGCAAACTCCCAGGTATTTTAAACAAATCTAGTATAATGTATGGTGTAAGAAGGTACAGGGGTACAACCCAGCCTGGATCCACCATATACCCTCTTTTCCTCTGACAAGTTCCCTTCCTCTGCACACAGTTTCTCAAATCTGATCCCACCTGGGAAGGTTTCTAAGAGCTGCAAGAGAGC